GTTATCAGCGATGAGATGGCACACGCGAACACATGTGCACCTTATCTTGTTCCTGGATGTCACCTGTTATAATGAAACACTCTCCTTATCCCCTCCCATCTCCCTCTCTGTATTCCCACAGAGTGAAATTGGTGGGGATCAATCAGCCAGGCTAACAGAGTGTGAGATGTTCTCCTACATTCCTGTCTCCCTTCAGCTGTCAGTGTATGAAGACACTGTCTTCAGTCTGTGGATTGTAGTTGTTTTTTATTTCTGTTCCCATTTGTGTCAGACTTTTTAAGTGTTTCAGTGGAGTTGAGATTTAACTTAGTGAAGTTTTTGGGTGTTGTCATATTGTGACATGTGAGCTTAGGATTTAAGTCTGCTGCATCACTCAGAAAAGGTAGGATAAAATGATTATTATGACTATCAGAATAATCATAGCTACTGAAATGTCACTCCTTCCTTCACAGGCTTTATGGACTGAATCTTTAGTTCTGACTTTATATGATTTTAAAAATAGGAGTTCTTCCTGTTGAAATATAATGGTGTGAACATTATCCTTATAGCAGTATCATGAAAGCTTTACAAAACCTCTAACAATACAAGATGAATGCTCTGTCATTCCTTTTGATCTCACCCCACCCATGACATCCTTGATCCTCTCTCCGCTTCCCCTCTGCTCAGCGTAATATTAAAAACCAAAAGTACAATGCCACGACTGCTGCTTTAAAGGAACCCAAAACCTTGTCATCATACATTAATAACCATTCATACACACACACACCAACACAAACAACACCAACTTAGACACAGGGAGAATAATAAAATGCTACGCCCTTACGGGTTTTCCTTTTTCTCCTTATTGCTTTATTCTCCAATGTCACGCTTTGCAGTGTTACAGAACTTGAGCTCTCTTCATAAAAACCACGCTCTGCCAGGGTGAGACAAAAAATAATGAGAAACTTTAACGATTTGAGCCTAATCTTTCTCGCCCAACTCTGCACGTATTTATGCAAAACGTCACAGGCAGAAAGCAATTGGAGCATTGTTTTGCTTCTTTCCCCTTGCGAAAGTTAGCTATCAAACTAGCTGGGGCGGCTAATGTTTTTCTAATAAGAGCTCACCTTTAATTTCAGTCAAACGAGGCAGTTGGTGCAGATTAGCACAGGCAATTTTCTGCTTCAGATTCCATTATTAAAACACTCCTGCTATCAGAAAGCTTCTCTTGTTGAATAGAGAAACACAAGTTTTTTTTTTTTTTTTTTTTCTTTTTCTTTTAACTTGAGCTTGGATTAATACCTTGGGGCTATTGTTGCTGTTATCTCCTACTCTTAGGGAGTCATTCAGAATGCCCACCACCTGAAAGTCAAACATCAACCAGTTGTATAATTTTAATCATGTGATTGAAACTCTTCCCAACAGATTTTAAACTAATACAATAAGACCAGCTTCATTTTCAGCGTATACTAATGATCTGTCAAGCAAACCCCTGAGATGAGGGCATCCGGCTTCCTTTAACGTGATTCAAACTGTGCACTCTTGTTAACACTAGTGAATTATATTTACCCTGATAACACCTTGTCAGTGTCCCAACTAAATGACTGTTAGACATTACACAGAGTGCAGTAATATTCGACCACCATCCTGAGCACTGAATGGTGCGGCACCACACGATGGGGCAGAGGTAAAATGCGGAGTGTGATGGTTGCCATGGGTTACTGTTTGTCCATGCAAGCTGCAAAGGTTGTCATTTCATACATCACTGTCATGTTCTATCACTCTCTTTCAGGTTGTATTCACTTCTCTTTTCGTGCATATTCTCTCTGTGCTTTATTTATACCTTCCATTGCACATGCAAGCACACACAGCCACACATACTTAGACAACACAATACACACACCAGCGCTGAGAAAATTCTCTGTCTTCTGTGTGTACGGGTTATCTCAGGCATACACACATGCAGAGCAGATCACAGTTCATACATGCATGCACACAAATTTATTCTGCGTGTTTGTCAGTGAAGGTATGGACCACTGAGCGCAACTCATATGTGCAGGATGCATGATTCTGTAATTGCTTTGAGGGATGGCGTGAGGGAAGCTCTGTGTGCATGATTGCATATGTGAATGTCAGGTGGTCGAGTTCCCAAAATAAAAATGCATGTCCCATCAAATTGAGCATTTATTCTTTCTCTTCATCTCCTTTGCCTTCTCACTGTAGTCTGAAAAACTAATACAGGATAACATCATGAAATCTATAATACATTTATGTAAAGCTGTGTCTGGAAAGAAATTGACTTGTCACCCCCTCCAATGTCTGACGTGTCTGCACTTTAGAAACGGCTGTGGCTCAGGAGGTAGAGTGGGTCAACATGTCGAAGTGTCCTTGAGCAAGACACTGAACCCCCAGTCGCTCCCGGTGATGTCACCGGTGTGTGAATGCGTGAGTGCTTGGAAGTGCGAATGCGTGAATGGCTGAATAATGTGAAAGCGCTTTGAGTGTGCTGTAAAAGCGTAGAAAGGTGCTATACAAGTATAAGACCATTTACCGAAACTAATAACATTCAGCCTTGGCTTGATCCAGCAGTCTGTGTGGTCAACTCTTATGTTTACAGGTTTGATATAAAAAGTAGACAACAATACAATGGTCATGTTATCATTACAACACTCCTTATTGATTCATCATTATGTCATTCTTATCATGGAGCGTATGCAATTTTGTTTATTATCATCATTATGTCATTCTTATCATGGAGTGTATGCAATTTTGTTTATCATATTGTCTCCTTTCCTAATCTGTCACTGCTGTTAGATGTAGCGTTTACACTGTGTTGAAAAACGAATTTAAAACCAAAAAAGGTTCAACCTTGGGCCATTTTTATTTCAGTCATTCTCAGCGGGGTGCCAGCAAACCTACAAGTACAGTGGAGCAGCAGCAGCCTATATGTTTTAATATGAAATGCTTGTATATTTCAGAGATTTAAACTCTTAAGCAAGGTGTTAGAGACTTGCAGGGGAGACGGGATGAGGCAGACACTGTGAGGGGAAAGGGACAGGTGTGTGCAGGTGTTCTAAAAACAGCAGGAGGTTAGTTACTGTAGTTTGGCAACACTATTAGCAGCTGCAGAGAGGCACAGCTTATGGAGGCAAATAAGGCAGGCAATTTTAAAAGCCTTGGCACCAATTGTTGCAATTTGTGTCAAAACGGAGTCATGCCTCAGTCAAATCTGAACACAGACACGATACACATAGTTTTAAATTCGCTGTGACTTACACTTTCCAAGAATGCTATTAATGTTATCTACGATCTCTGTCTCAGGGAAAACATTCATAGTCCACATGAAACACTCCTTATATGCCGTGAATTTGCCTGGGATTTCAGTTTTTCTTCAGTAACCTCTATTTGCTGGCTAGTACCTTAGATTAAAAATGCCCTCAAGAGGTCTAGTGTCACACACTGAGGGCAGGCAGAGGTAGAGAATTCCTGTTCTATTCTAGTTGAGGTTTAAGGTTTATTGTTGACCTTGGAAGCACTTACTGATAAGGTAGTCTCTCTTCAAGTACCATTTAGTAGCTAGTCATATCACATGATCATCAGCAGCAAATGGTCTGGTTTTTTAGCCATGTTGGCTCAAAGGTTGAGTTAAACATTGATTCTTGAACTTGGAAACACCAGGCTCCATCTTTGGATGAAGATCATGTGATATGACAAGAAGCGACCGGAACACTTTACTAAATGGACTTTGAGGTGCAGTTGTTTTGTTGTTGTCCTGTTCTGTTCTGTACTATTATGTCCCATTCTGTTGCTGGTGAACTACATATAAATATGAGAGATTGTACAGGATGCAGCACTGTAGTGGTAACCTGTTTGTCTTTGTATGTGTGTGTGCATATCCATATCGCAATCCTCTCGTTTATGAGTTCTGTCACAGCAGCAGGTAAATTACCACAAGCAACAGAGCACTCAAGGATTACTCTCATGCAGGATTAACATTCACTACCTGCATGTGGGTATGTGACTCTGTGTGTTTCTGGGTGTGGATGTGATTGGGTGCTTTTGTCTACACATTTGTACTGTTTGTGTGAATAAGACAAAGAAAAGACAAAGTTTGACTTGGACTCATAAGCTGCTTTGTCTGCGCGTAGTCCGTCTCTCCGCAGGCTGCACCTTGGAGCTTTGGGAACTATCTTAGCTACTCAAGCTGAAGTTAAGACAAAACCCCAACAGTCTCAAGTATTTTATATTTTCTTTTGCCTGTCATAAGATATTATGACACAAACCAGAAATTGTTGGTGCTGCTTTTACTTCACCTAAAACCTGATTCAAGAAATCAGTAATGTTAACCCACTTGTACCTTGTTTTCTTTGTACAAATTTTCAGTTTGGCAATCATGGTTACACCTGAGGGTTGTTTTGAAGTTTGTACCATGGTTGTTTAAGTCACTGTCTCAAGAAGCAAGATAGCACTGTGGTAATACCCCACCCCCACCCAAAGAACATTTTTTTTACAACCTGTCTTAGTTTCGTAGCTTTTCTTCTAATGAGGTTGCCACTGTTGATCTCAGCATTAAGTTTGTTAAAAATAAAAACAAATGTTATCATTGTCAAAAGAAACTATGTTCAAAACTGTAACTAATTTTTTTCTTTAACTAAGCTTTTCCATTTTGAAGATGCAGTACTTATCACATGTAGTAAGGTTTAAAGCTAACATTGTGCTGAAAGAGACTTATAATTATCGTGTTTTTCAACATATCAGTTAACAGTTGTGAATGTTGTTGATCATTAATTTTTGCCCATAGTGAATAATTGACCCAACAGCACGGGTAGTAACACCTGGTTCAAAACTGCTGCTCTAGGTTTCAAAACATGAGGCTCTGTTAAAAGAGACAGTCCAGTGCGCTGTCAGAAAGGAACAGCAGGGTGACTGTGGCCCAGACATTTGAGCACAGTAAGGATATTTTCCATTGGTAGTGCTGTGTTGTAATCACACTGACTCTCCCGTCTACCCTCTGTTGCTAGGCCCCGGCCGACTGCATCTGTGTGCACTGAGCTGCAGGCCAAGGTGTTCCAGTGCTATAGAGAAAATCCACAGCAGACCCTGCACTGCTCCAGCTTGGCCAAACAGTACATGACCTGTGTCCAGCAAGCTAAGAAGGTAGGCAAGTGCTGCAGACTCTGTGTGTGGGTGTGGGTAGGGAGAGTGCATGGCAGAATACAGAAAATTATTTGGATATTTGTGTGAATGCTTGTTTATGCAAGTGCATAGTTTGTTGTAATATATGTGGATGATGTGGCAGCTAACACCACTGTACTTTCAATTAATTTCCCACTCCCCTTCTGTTTTGTCTTTTGCTGTTATCACTTCTTGCTCATTCCCTTTGAGCAACACACTTGGCCAAAGTATTTGGAGTAGCTCCCTTTACTTTAAAGATACATATTAATTAGTTTCCAGGTTTTTTAAAAAACAGAAGGATAGCAGTTAATTAGTCAGACCTTGAAGGAGCTTGACAGTGACACTGACAGTGGAACAAAAACGTGAAGAGAGAAGTAATCCTTTCAATCCTCATGCCAAATCAGTTAGCTTCTAAGAATTGTAATCTGCATGTTGCTTACTTTGACACTTGACATGGGAAGCTATATCAATGAGACATGCTTATTGAGTGGATTTATAAGTCACCAGGCGTACACTGTGTTTTGGAACTTTCTGATAGGAAGATTACACCGTTATTAGTGTATTAAAATCAGTTTTGGCATTCAGCACTTTGAAATGTATTCTGCTTTCTGCTGATGCTTTCGCAAATAGTGTTCAGACCCTACGCTTATCTACAAAGTGCTTATTTTACCCAATTTCTCCATCAAAAAACAATAATGAATGGGGCAATTTGCACATTATTATCATGACAAAACGCACTGATATGGCTCCAAAGTAGATAAAAGGCACAAAACAACAATTGGTGAATTTGGCAGTTTAAATGGTTGATAAATGCAAGGCAAAGGCTCACAATGAAAGCAATCAGTCTTTTTAAACTGGATCAAAAGATTAAATTGCCAGTGGGATGGTACTCTTTTGAGGGAAAAACAGTGTATATGTGTTTGTACTCGCGTCAGTTTATTTGTGAGCATGTGTTATATAAATTCAAATTGTGAGTGTTTAGAGAATAGACAGTGGTGCAGAGTAAAGGCGAGCTTCTTTGTAAAACGTTTAATTCAGATTCAATCAGGCATATCCTTGACTGTGTGTGAATGAGACAAAGAAAGTCTGTGTTGAACATGGTGACTATTGCGGGCTGAAAACCAGAACAGACTATAAACAATCTCCTCAAGAGAAACTGGGAGATTTTCTTCTACCCTGGTGGAAGAAGGTAAATTTGACTGTTGTTGATAAATGAGGCCCAGACCCTTCCTGAAAGGTGTTTAGATCCAAAATATTACTAGTTCTAAGATTGGCTTCAAAGGAAGATGTGGCTGTTTGTTGTGTTAAGTGTTTCTGGGCTATAGCCATATGTTAAAAATAGTATTTCTACATGATATTTCTACATTTCCAAAGTTTCTTTTTTTACCAGACAGTTGGATAAGATAAGGCATTTTATTACTTAAATCCTTTCTGCCTAGCTTTTCTTTAGTGGGATAATCTAACAGAGATTACATCTTGCTTTTCAACAGTGACCTCCACTCCTGTTTTGAAGATGGCGGGATTTTCTGCTTGACCTTTAAGACTTTTAAAGAGTTCTGTCTCAAGGTGAAATTTAACGAGCCATAAAAGGTTCTGAGATTTAAGCTATAAATGTGTAACTGTAAAAGACCTCCTATTTCAGTATCCTATTAAACTATCTACTGTGCACCCAATATAAACACTCTTTTACTTCTGCCTTTCCCTCTTGTCCAGCCATCTTGTGTATTAACGTCTCATCCTTGGATCTCTCATTATACTGACACTGTTGACCTATCTCTTCCACTTCCTGTCCTTCATGCATGCGCTTCCTCTTTCACCGCCCTTCACTGCACACTTTCACATTAACCAGTTCATTTGCTCTGATCTGTACTGCTGGCTATGGGGCTCTTGATTTAGCTAGGTTTGCTTAACATATCACGTGCTATGTACTTTCAGGAGACATAGACACTTCATACGTATCATACAATTTTCATAGAGCAGCTGATTCTAATATCCTGCTGTAGCTGCAGAGCTGAAACCTCCATCCCAGTGGTTCTGACTCTAAAACCTATTGGAGCTATAATTATTTGCATCCACATTATACCGCCAGTCCTGCAGTCTTTTGCTTCATTTAGAGTATCTAACACCAGCAGCAGAGATTGGATAGGGTCTTGTGTTGCACAGCCAGAGTAGGCAGATGGGGTTAGCGAAAGTAGCAGAGAATGAAGAAGCCACAGGGAAATAGAAGATAGCTGATAGCCAGAAGAGCGCTGATCAAGTCCTGAGGTTTTCAAACTGCGGGAGAGTTGAAGGGGCAGCACAGAGGGAAAGATACTGTGTGAGATGAAAGGGGCCCATGCATAACGGTTTTCTAAAAGCATCGGGAAGATAGTTATTGTACTAACTCAGTAAATCTGAATGCACACATGCACAGTTTTAGATTTGGCGTGACTTCTGCTCGTTGATATTATTATCTCAAATGATTATTGCAAATAAACATCCAGAACCTGCCTTAGAATTGTTGTTTTTTTTTTCTTCAGTATCAAAATAATCATTCATGGTTACCTTACCACCAGTGTCGTTGGTCTACAGGAGCTGTTCATAGCTAATTCAGCTAACTTTAATGGTTTTCAGTTTGCCAAAATGTAAACAAATATAAGTTGTTGCCCATGTTACGACGTAGTAGGGGGCAGTTGTTGGACGTCCCCAGTGTTAGACTTTTAGAACTCCTGATTGAGTCGGTTTTTGAAGTGTGAAGTCTACTTCTTGGAAACTTAGCACTTACTGTACACTTAAAACAGTGTCTTAAAAAAGTGCAAATGTGGCACACATGTAAAACATATCATATAGTTTGAGGGGGGCTCTGCTGATAAAACCACCACACTTGTAGAGCTTATAATTTTCCTAACTGTTATGGTAATATTTAGTAATGCTGCTTAAAAATGTGAAAAACTCAAATAGCAACTTGGATGAATGGCCCCATGACTGAGACTGGGTCAGAAGGAAAGACTGGAAGCTCCAAATCAGTCAGCCTTAATGAAAAGAAATGAGTGGGCACGCCCAAGACCCCTCTGGACACACAGGCAGCTGTCCAGTCTGCCTGTCTATAAAGGGATCTGACAGAGCCAGCAGCTTGGCAGATAACAGCACTCAGACGAGAGTTTAACTAGGAAAAGTTTCAGTATTGCTGCAGGTGGTGAAGGGTCAACAAGGAGCAATATGCACTGCTATTGATTTAGTCATGAGAGAGACCAATGGATCATATTTCATTATAAAATATAATGTTCTGTAGACCCCGTAGGAAACATTTTGTTAAGGTTGAGGCTGTTAATAATTGAGGTTTTACCTTTTGCTGAACTCGGGGGGCCGCTGTGCTTGTTCCAGTAGTAGAACAGAAGGTTTGATCATTTATGCCGAGCAGGTAATTACATTCACTGACGTGAGCTTATCTGTGATAAGCAGTGCGAGTGACATTGTGAAAAATCACACAGCAAATGCCATGTTTTGGCAACTATTCACTAATTGAACAAACAAATGATTGTGTCATTAGAAAATAAAAAAATTAAAATGCTTTAAAATCTAAATGTCTTAAGATAACATCGATTTTTTATGTTGGATATCTGATTTAGGAACAAAATGTTATGAACTTTAATTTTGCAATTTTGAGAAGACACTTCTCTTCTATTTGAATGACAGCAACAGTACACCAAAATATTTTGAAAGGCACTCTTTGTTTAAACTATCAAGCAAAATAAACTGGCTGTTCATGCAGATAAAACAGCCAGTGAGTAGAAAAGACACGCTGCACTTGGATGTAGTCATTTTCCAGCTTTGTGCAACAATTACAGTGTCTACTCAATAGAAGCTTTTAGCCTGGTGAAAACCTCCCGACAGCTTAAAAGCTCTGTTCTTTTGTTATCTGTTTTTCTGCAGCTACATTCTTTGTGCTATTTACTCTCCAAAATTCATCTTTGTCTAAAATTGATACCTTATGGTTCACAACTTTTCTTAAATGTACTTACAGTCCAGACTTTATTTGGACAGTTAATAAAATATTGGATGGCAAATTTAAGTGCCAAGTCTCAGCTTTAATTTGTGTAGTTTTCATCAGTATAGGAAAAAAACTGTGTGGGAGGTATAGTCCTTTTAACACACAGTGCCGAAACTCAAATAAAATCATCATATTGAATATTCTGATGAAAATCCCTTACAGTCAGCGACTGCCAGAAGCCTTGGGCCCACCGACATCAACAGATGCTTTGTATCTTACATGGTGATTCTCTCCAAGGCCTTCGCTGCTGCCACCTTCAGATGCAGCTCAGTTGGATTGAGATCAGGTGATTGACTCAGCCAGTTGAGGATATTCCACCCCTTCACCCTCTTTGGTTGCCTTGGCTGAATGTTTAGGATCGCCGCCCTGCTGAATGCTGAAATGTCATCCAGCGAGTTTCCCTGCATCTGGTTGAATCTGAGCCCACAGAATGTTCCTGTATACCTCTGCAGCCACCCGGTTGCTTTTAGCAGCAGTGAAATCATCAATAAATGTCAGCACTGTGTGCCATTTCCACTGGCAGCCATACATGCCCACCTCCACCAGATATTTTTGTATGTTTATTGAACTGCAGCCTTGCTTTCTTTTTTTTTTTGCCTTACCAGGAGTTTGCATCTTGTGGAGAATGCTGAGGTTATGGTCTTGATTTTAGACAAGAAAACATGTACATACTGTATGCATCCTGGAGGGCATCCTTGACTTATTGTGTGGTCACAAAGGGGGTTTTTTAAACTCCATGCAAATGACGTTTTGATCATCCAAAAGACGAATGATGTAAAAGCATTACAAAATCACGAGTGGGGTATTTACTAGTGATGTAACAGTATTGGTAATTTGCAATAGTAAGATATCTTGACTATGACAATATCTACATATTTGGCTCGTATAACTGTGTGCTGGTTGCAGAATTTGAAACTGGCATAGCGGATGGTTCATCGTCGACTTGTAAAGC